TCGGTTATACCATACACTATGGGCTATGAAAGTGCCAAGCATTTATTGTACCAAATGTTATACAACATAAATCAAGATTAGTCATTTAACAAGCAAATTATTAAAGAGTGAACAAGATAACAAATACAAAACATGTTAGTATCAAACATTAAAGTCCATATTAAATTTACACTATACTTATTCTTACACCATTAGTGTAAAATCTTCACCTTGCCATAATAAACTTAGCTAAACATAATAAAAGAAAGAAAAATAAATAAACAAAATAAGCTAAGAGCTAACTAAGTACATGAAAAGAAATGAAAGGCATAAACTTGATATTAATGAAAGCAAAGCATAAAAATTACAAAAAATACAAAGAGAGAAAGCAAAATAATGATCTTGATCTCAACACCAAGAAGCCTAAATGCATGGCAAATGCCTCCTTTTATAGGCCAAAATTGGGAACTATTGATTTGATGACTAATTGATGAGTGGGTGACCAACTCTTGACTTGGTGACAATCCTTATCCTCTCTTATCTGCCCAAAATGTCATTGATAACGTCAAAATTAGAGCCACTCGAAAACATGAAAGTTGTAGGCAATTGTCTCAGCTTTCTTGCGTAAAACATTCAGCTCATTTGGACTTTAAGAACTTTAGATACGACCAAAATACTAAACAGTGCTCGGGCTTGAGGATAGATTCGGGTTTCTTTGTTGTTGCTATAATTTGGACTTGCAAATGGCCTTTTTAGATCTTGGGCTCCATATGAAAGTTGTAGGCCTATGTCTTACCTTTCCATCCATATAAAGTAGACCTAAATCTGAGATCTATAGCTCCAGATATGACCCAATTACCGAATAGTGTTCCGGTTTGGATTGCACCGACATCTTTTTTCTAATTTTGGTCATCTCTTTGCCCTTGCAATTTAAGTTTTTAAAGTCATCAATCAATCCTTTCATTTATATGATAGGCTTGCATTTAAAATGAACATTTACCACAAATTAAAGGTATCTTATATTATTAGATATATTATTATAAAACATGATTTAGTTAAGGAGTTATTGATACTTGAAGTGCAAAATGATGATATAAAACCATGATAAAAATGCACTTTTAAGTACTAATCATGAGTCTTTGAACATGGTGGGCCAATAAAATCCACTTTGTAAGATTTTTGCAGTTGTCTTTCTTGATGAGAAATAGCCCTCACATGCCTTAGAATGACCAAATTTAATGACATTACTTACCTCATTATCAGGAATGCATCTTCAAAATATTTGATTAGGACAATATTTGAATAAATAAGGGTCATCCCAATAAAAGTTCTTCACTTTGTTCAAAATCTTTTCTTTGTCTTGGGCACTCCAATCAGCTAGCAAATCTCTTAAAGCAAGAAAATTGATATTTTTACATACCAAGGCATTGGACTAAGAAAAAGTAAGGATTTGTTAGAAAAGTAATCATCGATTGGTGTGATGTTAGATGTCAAATTTGTTGTCACTTTTGACAAAAGATCCACATCAATATTGTTGGTGCATTTTTCATCTGTGATTTCTTCCTTAGAATAAATCATTTACAAATCTTCAGATTCATCCAACTCATTTTTACTTAAAGTAGATTCAAGTTGATCATAAACTAATTCGTCAATATGATCTACTTCTTGTAAATCATTATCATGTCCAAGTTGCTTGCAAATGTTTAAAATATTCATCTTCAATGTCATGTTTCCAAATGATAGCTTCATCAGTCCATTCCTATAATTAATCAATGTGTTAGAAGTTGCAAGAAATGGACGTCCTAAAATAACAGGAAATGAATTACATGCTTTAAGAGGTTGTGTGTCCAAGACAACAAAATCCACAAGATAAATGAATTTATCGACTTGTACTAACACATCTTCAATTATTCCTCTAGGCACTTTTACAGATCTATCGGCAAGTAAAAGAGTTATAGAAGTTGGTTTTAAGTCACCTAGATTGAGACACTGAAAAACTGAATATGGAAGTAAATTCACACTAGCTCCATGATCAAGTAAGACTCTTTCAATTTTATGTTCTCCAATAAAGCAAGAAATTATAGGACAACCAGGGTCTTTATATTTCAAAGCATTATTGTTCTGAAGAATGGCGCTTACTTGTTCCGCTAAAATGGCTTTCTTTCTCACATTCAGTTTCCTCTTCACAGTGCATAGATCTTTCAAAAATTTAGCATAGGGAGGAACCTGTTTAATAGCATCTAGCAAAGGTATATTGATTCTTACCTATTTGAAAGTTTCAAAGATTTCAGAGTTGTGATTGACTTTCCTTTGTTTGGTCATGTCTTAAGAAAATGGAAATACTGGCAGGGAATCAGATGTTTCTTTGGAATTTTCAAATTCAACCCCTTCCTTACCCTTAGAGATTGACTCATCATCTTTCTCATAAGGTTTAAGAGTGGGTTTTTCAATAACTTTATCACTGTGAAGAGTAGTGACTGATTTGACTTGATCCATGTGTTGGTTTCAGGAACTACTTGCATTTGCATTATATTGCCCCTTGAGATTTTACTGTGGTTGAGATGAAAACTTACCTTTCTCTTGTAAACTGAGAGTAGATGTTAATTTTGCAAGAGTATCTTTAAAATCTGTCATGTTTTGAGCAAGTTGAGTATTGATTGTCTCTTGCTTTTCAATGAATGCATGCAATGTTTCCTTAAGATTTCTTCTAGGAGGTGGAGCATAAGGAGGTACATATCCATGAGAATTTTGGAAATTATGGTGCGCTTGAAACGGTGGTTGTGAAGTTTGTACATTGTTATTATCACTCTTCCAATTCAAATTTGGGTGATTTCTCCAACCAGGGTTGTATGTTTGGGAGTATGGGTCGTGGCTGGCCCTTTGGAAACTGTTTAAAGCATGGGCTTGTTCATGGAGACATTCCTTAAAAGAAGCCAATGTTGAACAATTATTGGTTGAGTGTTCATTTGTTTCACATATTTGACATGCAATGTTTTCAACAAATTTTAATTGACCACTCTTTTTCAATTCTAGTGCCTCGACTTTTCTAGCTAAAGATGCAAACTTGGCTTGAAGGTCATGATCTTCCCTAAGGTTGTACATACCTCCACTAGATGTATGAGGTTGAGTTTTACTCGGTGCCTCATAAGTACCCATGGTGTCCCAATTTTGAGCATTTTCAGCTAACAAGTTTAAGTACTCCATTGCTTCATCAGGGTCTTTATCTTCAAAAGTTCCATTGCACATCAATTCAACCATTTACCTATCTCTAGGTGTTAACCTTTCATAAAAATGTGAAACCAATCTCCATGTTTCAAAACCATGATGAGGGCAAGTATTAAGCAAGTCTCGATATCTATCCCAAAATTGGTAAAATGTTTCTCCTGGTTTTTGAGTGAAAGTGGTGATTTGTCTTTTGAAAGAGTTTGTTCTATGAGATGGAAAAAACTTCTTTAAAAACTATTGTTGCATTTCATCCCAAGCATGAAGGGATCCTAGTCTTAAATTTTGTAGCCATGTTTAGCTTTATCTTTTAATGAAAAAGGAAAAAGCTTTAATCTGATGGTGTTCATGCTACAATTTAAATTATTATATGTGTACAAACCTCCTCAAATTCCCTTAAATGCAAGTATGAATTTTCCAATTCTAAGCCATGAAAAGAAGGTAAAAGTTGAATAATACTTGGTTTAAAATTAAAATGAGATGCATTGGGAGGAAAAACTATGCATGATGGTGCACTTGTTTTTATGAGATTCATGTGGTCTCTAAGTGTTCTAGCACGGTTATTCTCATTATTCTTGACACGACGAAAAGATTGATGTCTTCTCCCAAGTGCAGGAGTGTGGAAGTAATAAATAACTTGGCAAGACCGGGGTCAAACCACAGAGATGTTAATTGTACAAATTATAAACAACAACAATAGTAACAACAACAACAACAACAAAAACAACAATAATAACAATAATAACAATAATTACAATAATAATAGTAGTAGTAGTAATAGTAATAATAATAATAGTAGTAGTAGTAGTAGTAGTAATAATAATAATAATAGAAGAACAAGAAAAAGAAGAAGTTGATGAGAACTTTGTTGTTGCTCCAATTTGAACTTGAAAATGGCATTTCTAAATCTTGGGCTCCATATGAAAGTTGTAGGGCTATGTCTTACCTTTCCATCCATATAAAGTAGACCTAAATCTGAGATCTACAACTCCAGATATGATCCAATTACCAAACAGTGTTCCGGTTTGGATTGCACCGACATCTTTTTTCTAAGTTTGGCCATCTCTTTGTCCTTTCCATTTCAATTCTTAAATTCATCAATCAATCCTTTCATTTATGTGATAGACCTGCATTTAAAATAGATATTTACCATAAATTATAGGTAACTTATATTATTAGATATATTATTATAAAACATGTTTTAGTTAAGGAGTTATTGATACTTCAAATGCAAAATGATGATATAAAATCTTGATAAAAATGCACTTTTAAGTACTAATCAACCATCTTTAATATTGAATATTTTCTTGCTTTAAAGACTTTACCGACCAACCCAATATCACTTCTAGTAACCGCTACAGATGATCATAAGCAGCAATGCCTTTGCACTGCGCTGCAGAAAATACAGTGCTTGACTGCTGCTGTTTGTCAATTTCGCGCTTCCCCGACATTGATAAAATTGCAGCAACTTACACACATTTGCTTCTTTTGGGAATTTGGGTAGTGAAGTGGTGTTGCTAGAGAGATGTCTGTTGGCTTGCATTAGCCACCTAGAGTGCTGATTTGATGTGTCAACTAAACAGACTGTGGCAGAAACTATATCATTTCCTGGCAATAGTGCCTCCTTGTAGAAATACTCCAAGTTCCGAACCTCTCAGATGCGATTTGAAATTCATCTACACATCCAAAGGGACTTAATCTATGAAACAACACAATTCCCTGCACATACATATATTCACAAGATGTTTAAGCTTGTTTACATATTTAAATCCATGGAAATCTCCAAGCTTCATTGCTGAGGTTTATTTAAGTAAATAAATCTCCAAGCTTCATTGCAATTTCATTCCTCCAATTTTCCAGGTCTACTGTTTTGTCCTACAAAGCTGTGTCTCCAAGAAGTTCATTACGGGATGGTAATATGCATAGCTATGCCTTATTCATTCCAAAAATATTTCTGACTTTTCAGCCTAAGAATATGATGCATTGTGAAATTGCAGTGTAGTACTTTTCCCATAGCTATGACATTCTTTATTACATGGTGGCTTATTCCATTTGTTGATGGTTTCTTTAGTCCAATAGATGCACAGCTTGGCATTGACATATTTGGTAAGCTTAAAATGTTGCTTTTCTTATGCTTTTGACTTCTGGAACTTCCACCTTTTCTAATTATATATCAACTGTTGTGTTCTCTCATCTTTATTTGTGGATAAATACAACCAGTTTACTTTGTTTACCAGGAAATTTAAAATAAGCTTTTAAAGTTGAAAGAAAAAAAATGGTGGATGTTGGGAAGAAATATATGAAAATTTCTCAATAAAGAAGATATGGTTTCATGGTCTCAACATAATGTCACTTCTTCATTTTAATGTTTTGATGCAAGAGTAATGCATTGTATCCAGTTCATTAATTCAATGGTCCATATTGACTAATTTTGATTTGCTGGAATTAGTATTATATGGTTTATTGTTATGACCCGAGTCTAGAAACACAAAGTTCAAGACAATTATTCTGAACAACTTCATAGTATCTAAAGTTGGAACATATTAGTTTAGTGGTCATTGGATTTTGTTATAAAATATGGGGAGACTTGCTAATTTTAGTTGCTAACTTCACATCTCCTTCCGTTGTTTTAGTGGAACATCTTAGCGAAAAAGTTCTCCAACCTCTCATGCTTTAAGATTTGCTTTACCGTGATGGAAATATGTCTTAAATTGGATTGGTAGTACACTTGAATTAAATTAATTATATGCCTAGCCAGATGAAAACCCACATGTTATGTATTCTGGTTTAATGTTGGGTTATAACTTGTTGATTAATCAAATAATTTCTAGATTAATTATGCCACATTTTTTTTTTTGATCAAATGTAAGAATTATATAGATAAAAAAAAAAAAAGCAAGGCAAGCTTGCGATACAAGTTGGAAACCAGCAGAACAATACAAGCATCATCAAAGGAAACAAACTCCCTAAACAAGAAAACAGGATCCCTTAAACAAGGGGAACTAAGAACAAAAACATGAACAACCCTCATGCAGAGCAACAACTCGGAAGGCAAGCTTGCGATACAAGCTGGAAACCAGCAGAAAATTACAAACAACAGTAAAGGGAACATACTCCCTGCAAACAGGATCCCCTAAACAAGAGGGACTAAGAACAAAAGCATGAACAGCCCTCATACAGAGCAAAAAACCCGAAAGCTTAGGGGAACATGCTCCCGCTAAGTTGAACAGAAAAACAAACCCAAGCCAACAAAGAGGCATCCAGCCATAGCATGAAGAGCACCAGCCAATCCAGCAAAGGACGGCAATATCCAGAGCAAGCGCCTGAATTGGGCACAATCAAAAACTGAAAAGCAGCTTTCAAGACTGAATGAAACAGCAACAGAGCAAACAAACCCGACCAGCGACCACTAAGCAAGCAAACCAACTGCACGGAAAAATTATGCCACATATTCTTAATCAAATGACATGTGATTGTTTATTTTTGGTATAAATAATGCCTCCATATTTCTTTATTTAGGATAAATAAAGGAATATTAACTTGCCTTTTTTGATCAAATCAATTGATAAATTGATCGCACAATGTTGTTAGCCTATTTTTATATTGGATTAGGTTTAATCTTGTCTTGTAATGATTGTATTTATGGTTGATCATCACCTTCACGTGCTAGTATTCTAACATGTGTTTGTTGTTGTTGATAATTAACTAAAGGATTAGTCTCTTCTTATCCCAAAACCTATTCTCCTAGTAAGGTGTATGGTTTATCATCATTCTTTTTCACTAGTGTGTTTAGACATTACACCCTTTTGAGCAACGTCTTGGTTAGCTGACCTTATCACCACCTTCTTTCCAGGTCTAGGAGATGCTGGCAATTACTTGCCAACCTGTCATCCTCATCATTGAGTTTTGATGACTTTTGTCATTGTTGATGCTTATAGCATTCTTTATCAAGATGCTTTTTTAGGCCTAAAGGTCTTAGGCTCTTGTTCCTTTCCAATCTCTATTTAGCATTACTCTCAAATTCTTCTTCCTTGGGTAGTATTTTATGACAACTAGGACACATATATGCCTCACAAAAAGGTTTATCATGATTTCTTGTGTTAATAATTTTGCTTTACCATGATTGATATACACTTACCAGTAGCAACATTAGTGATTAGCTCTAATTTTTGTTGTGGTTGATTAGTACTTAAAAGTGCATTTTTATCATGGTTTTATATCATCATTTTGCACTTGAAGTATCAATAACTCCTTAACTAAAGCATGTTTTATAATAATATATCTAATAATATAAGATACCTTTAATTTGTGGTAAATATTCATTTTAAATGCAGGTCTATCACATAAATGAAAGGATTGATTGATGACTTTAAGAACTTAAATTGCAAGGATAAAGAGATGGCCAAACTTAGAAAAGAGATGTCGGTGCAATCCAAACCGGAACACTGTTCGGTAATCGGGTCATATCTGGAGCTATATATCTCAGATTTAGTTCCAATTTATATGGATGGAAAGGTAAGACATAGGCCTACAACTTTCATATGGAGCCCAAGATCGAAAAAGGTCATTTTCAAGTCCAAATTGTAGCAACAACAAAGAAGCCCGAATCTGTCTTCCAGCCCGAGCATGGTTCAGTATTTTGGCCATATCTGGAGTTCTAGAAGTCCAAATGAGCTGAATGTTTTACAAAAGAAAGCTGAGACAATTGCCTACAACTTTCATGTTTGCAACTGGCTCCAATTTGGATGTTATTAATGACGTTTTTGGCAGACAAGAGAAGATAAGGATTGTCACCAAGTCAAAAGTTGGCCACCCACTTATCAATTAGTCATCAAATCAATAGTTCCCAATTTTGGCCTATGAAAGGAGGCATTTGCCATGCATTTAGGCATCTTGGTCTCCAGATCAAGATCATGCTTTTGCTTTCTCTCTTTGTATTTTTTTGTATTGTTTATGCTTTGCTTTCATTAATATCAAGTTTATGCCTTCGATTTCCTTTCCTTTACTTAGTTAACTATTATCTTGTTTATGTTCTTGTTTTGTTTATTTATTTTTCTTTCTTTTATTATGTTTAACTAAGTTTATTATGTCAAGGTGAAAAGGTTACACTAATGGTGTAAGAATAAGCATAGTGTAAACTTAATATGGACTTTAATGTTTGATACTAACATGTTTTGTATTTGTTATCTTGTTCTCTCTTTCATACTTTGCTTGTTAAATGACTAATCTTGATTTATGTTGTATAACACTTGGTACAACAAATGCTTGGCACCTTCATAGCCCATAATGTATGGTATAACCGACACCTGAGCTATGAAAGGAACTTGATTTGTTGTTAACATAAGTTTTTAATCATGAATGCTTGACGAGATTTACAAGTATTAGCATTAATTGAATAAGATGACTAATGTAATCATGTTAACAATATATAATCTGATTGGAACCTCCTTTGTGTGTGGTTTCCAATTCAATAATAAGAGTTTATACTATACTTGTTTGATATACCATTAGTGGAACCTCTAACCTTGACATTTGTTATTATTAATGTTTAATCCTTACATTAATTTTCCATCTCCAAGTTCTCATCATCTTCTTCTTCTTCTCTTTCTTTATTATTATTATTGTTATTACTACTACTATTACTACTACTACTACTATTATTACTACTACTATTATTATTAGTATTATTATTATTATTAGTATTAGTATTATTAGTATTACTATTATTATTATTATTATTATTATTATTATTGTTATTGTTATTGTTGTTGTATTATTGTTATTTATAATTTGTACAATTAACCTCCATGTGGTTCGACCCCGGTCTTGCCGGGTTATTTATTACTTCGACACTCCTGCACTTGGGAGAAGACATTAATCTTTTCGTCGTGTCAGTGGTCGATCAAACCTAGTCTACTGTATTTCTCCTTTACCAAGAAGTACTCTTGATTTTGGAGCAACCATTGCTGTTACCTTGGAGAAAGGATCTGATTATTCTTTATTTTCACTAGCCACTTTGTTCTCTTGATTATTCTTTATTTTCACTAGCCACTTTGTTCTCTTGTTTCTTTAGGAATAGGCTTGTTAGCCTATATGGACTTTTTTAATGCAACAATCTCAAGTGTTTTTTCCTCTCTAAGTTTCGTGGTTGATATTAGTTGTTGTTCAACTTCCTTAAACTCCTCATTAGAGTTTGAGTTAACCATTGAATGAGCAATTATGACCTTGTTTAAGCAGCCAACTAAGTATGTTCCCTTACTTGCTAGTAGACAACAAGCCCCGTCGAGGTATAGGAAGATTGGGATTGTCTTGCTAAAAAACTCGTGGGCACTGAACTACCTAATTATAGGTTGAGTTGGTTGTAAATAAGGTGGTTCAGTTATATAATTAGTTTAAGACTATCTATATATTTGCGGGTAGGTGGTACATCATATGTGATTGTACTCTATAGTTGTTGGATTTGTGGTTGTGTTTGATGTGTAAGCATACGGTACCCGGTATATGGTTGGGAATCCTCATTGCTTCCCATGGAAACCTTTTTAGTGGAAGGTGTCCTTATGCTTGCCCCCCATGTGTTTGCATGGGAGATTGATGCTTAATCTAATTGAGCTGGTCGACTATGGCTTGCATGGTTCTATTGATTATCACAATGTTATTATAGTAAGTTGTGTTTGTTGTGTTCTTCATTTCTAACTAGATGACTCTTAAATCAACAGTAGATAGGTTTATTTGCTGATAAAAAGACGATCCTTCAGGAGGAGCCTCTGATGGATGACTAGAGTTTGGCTATAATAAGTATGACCATTTAACTATACCATTAATTCCTCGAAAGGTCTATACGTGATGTTAAGTTGAAGGTGTAGAATTGATATAGTGTATAACATGGATAAAAGTTAGGGTTCTCAAGCCTTAAGGTTACAAATTTAAGATGTCGAAAAATTTAGAGAAAACTCCATGGTGTTTTATAAAATCTGAATAATAGTCTTCAATCTCAAAATAAATCAGACATCCTTATTTATATTAATTCTAAAATCCCTTATAGGAAAGGATTCCCAATTAAAACTAAAAATTCTTTATAGAAAAGGATTTTTAATTAAAATTTACCT